GGGAGAGGCGGCGGCCGCAGCCCACACAGCCTACCCACCGGGCCCACGCACACCAGCCGGCTGCACACACTGCACTTGGAGCCGAGGACCAGGAACCTGTCCTTGTCTGAGGTGAACGGGTCCTTCAGGACGTAACTCTCCTCCAGGAGGCTGCAGGACAGTGCGCGACGCCGAGGTCAGAACGGCCGCAGCCTCTGCCGAGGGCAGCCTGGCAGCGGCTCGGAACGGACCTCCCCAGAGCCCGCACACCTGGGTGGGTTCATGAGCGGAGGGGCCAGTCCCCCGTGCCCCCGAGTGGGAGCAGAAAGGCAAGCCGCGGGCAGCGGGCTGGAACCCGTGTTACAGCCGCGGCGGGGGGACCGCTGCCGCAGCCCGGGCCCGACCGCTCTCCACCCGCTGGGACGCGCAGGGAGCGCCGCCTCCGTCTCGGCGCTCCGGGCCTGCCGCACCACGCAGGGAGAACCGCGGCGCCTTACACCCTGCCCACGGCGCTGGCCGCACGCGCACATCGCACACCCACAGGTCCTGCGAGGACACCCCGGGCTCTGAGCCCACCCGGAAGCAGCCTTGGCGCCTGCCACCGGGCCCATGGCCGCGGCGCACCGGAGGGCAGCGTCCGGCCGGCCTCCCCACAGCGCGGCCTCCGGCGAGGGGCACCTCAGAGGTCAAGACCAGGCCCCAGGGCGCAGCGGCTGGCGCAAGGCTGATTCCGGGCAGATCCACTGGGAGCTGGACCCGAGGGCTCAGTCCCCTCAGAGCGAGACGGCAGGAAGGCCCCCCACTGAGAAGCTCCGCGGAGGAAGCGGGACGAGCGGCGGCGTGGCCCAGCCCCCACGGAAGAGGCCGCGGCGGACCCCGCCCAGGGCTGGAGCGGCCGCGGCGGGAAGCACGGGGCCCCCGGCCGGCCGCCGCAGCACGTGCTGCTCCCCGCGAGGAGCGCGGACCTAGGGGCCCAGGGCTTCTGGAGGAGCCTTGCCCCGCGCCTCGGCAGTCACTCCTGCAGCGTCCAGACCAGGCGCGGTGGGGCCACGACGCGACACCGCAGCCACCGCCACACCGGGCCCGGCGCCCCCCCCCCCCCAGCCCGGCCCGGCGCGCGGGAAGCCGGAGGACTCACACGACGGCGCGGGCGTCGGGGGGCGTCGGCCCCACGTAGCTGTAGGGAGCGGTCAGCGCGCAGAGCCGGCACGAAAACACGCCCGGGGCACGGCGGCCCGCCTCCGCCTCCATCTGCGGGCTCCGGAGAGCGGCAGGTCCCCGTCAGGACCCAGAGCCAGCGGTCCCCGAGCCGCCCCGGCAAGCTCCCGAGCCGCGGGCCGACGGCGCCCCTTGCACACCAGGCCCGCCAAGGTCACGGCGGGCGCGGCCAACGCCCACAGCAGCGGCGACGAGTCAGGGCCGGCCCGGGCCTCGAGCCGGCGGGCCCCTTGCCGGCCACGCGCGCCCGACGGCGGCCGGCACCGCTCGCTCGCCGCGACAGCCCGGGCGGCTCCTCAGGGTCCTCCGCGCTGCCCGACGGGCACCGCCTCGCTTTCACTCCCGCTGCTCCGCTCCCCTCGGCCCCACGCCCGAAGCGCCCTGCGGCGGCGCGAGCGGCGTCTCTGACGTGGGCGCTCTGAGGAGGCCGAGGCCTGTCAGCCCGTCTGTCCGCAGCGCTCCTCTTGCCGCCTGCCCGGCTGCCGTCCGCGAAGCGTCTGACCTGTGCCGGGCGCTCGCGCGACGTTCGGGACAAGGCCTGACGGCGGCACGTCACGCTGCTCTCGGGCCCGACCCCGGCGACAGCGGGGCTTCCGGCCGCGAGCGCGCGCACTCGCAGGCCGTCCCTCCGGGCCCGCCCCGGGCTCCGCCGCTCTCCCTCGCCCTCTCCCGGGGCTTCTGGCCGGGAACGGCCGAAGGACGCGCCCTCAGCGGCCCTCTTCCACCGCGGTGTCACCCGCGACCCTCCGCCGGAGCCTCAGTTCGCTGGACGGCCGCGCACCTCCCGGGCTGCCCCAGGACCTTGGCAACCTGGGCTCCTCAGCATCTACCGCCCAACCGCGGGCAACACCGGCCCGCAACGCCATCTGGACGCGCCGCCAGGAACGACACGGCCTACGACCCGAGGCGCCTGCGCGACTCCGCCTCCCGGCGACTACGTACAGCGCAGGCGCGAGACCGCCCCCAACCCTCCGTGGGGCTTCCTGGAGGACTTCCGCCTCTACAAAATAGACGTCCTCCTCTGCGACGCTGGGGCGAAAAGGGAAGGTCACGCCCTCCTCCTGGCTGAGCAGTACCCCTGGACCGGCTCTGATGGCTGTTCTGAGGCTCTCCGATGCTTCTTGGATTTTCCACCCGCCTTCGAAGAATACAGGCGGCCGGAGGGCGTCCAGCATCGTCTCGCTATACACATGCCTGGACTGGAGCGCCCTGAACCTAGATCCCTAATTCCCTGTCCCCACACCCCCCTTGAAAGGTGAGTCCCGGTCCCCCAAGCGTGAGCCAGCGCCACAGGCAAGAGTGTCAGTGTCCATCCCAGGCAGCAGACAAGATAGGATCAAACGGAGCCCTGTCCTTCTCCGTGGACACGGTAAAGCGGTGTGCACTTCGAACATGTCGATGTGCTGCTCCCAGTGTGGCTTGTGACGCCAGTGGTGATCTGAGCCCCAACGATCCGGCCCTCCGGAGCCTGCCCAGCTTCAGCTTCCATAGGGCCTTGGGCCCACGGGGTCCCGTACCCCAGTCTCAGACCCGCTCTATCCTCGTGCCTCCCCAACGTGCCCGTCTCCAAGCCCCTCTGCTCCTATGTATGCCAAGTACTGTGCGACCCCTGAGCCCCCAGGCTTGGGGACTCGGCCTTTTTCCTTTGAGCAATTGAGAATTAAGGAAGATACAAGACATTTCTGGGAGTAACACCAATTCCGGGACGTGTACCTCAGGGAGCACTGAGGAAACACTGTGATTTTCTTACTAGCAGATAGGACCTCTGGGTGCTTCCAGCAAGAGCATTCCTTGGATCACAGCCACGGTTATATACTGCGGACTTTATTTTCTGTGTCTGCCCAAAGATGGACCATCTGGATGAAGCTTTTCATGTATGACCTATAACCACTCAGATACATGACCTCGTCTCTAGAATACTCTTCAAGCCCTACACAAGTTAGGAGATGGACTACAAGAGCTACGGGAAATACTGAAAGAGCAAATCATGGTATTTGGCAGAAAATAAAGTTAATTTTGAATTTGAGCTCTCTACCACTTTAATATAAGAAGAAAACCAAAGGATTGGCAATATCTCAAAATATTTTTTATATGGTTTCCCAAGAAACCACATATTTAGAGATAAAAAGAGAAGGACATGGGGGTGGCTCAGTCAGTTAGGCTCTGTCTTTCCACTTAGGTCATGATCCATCCTGGGATCTAGGCCTGCTTCCTGCTCCATGCTCAACAGGGATTCTGCTTCTCCCTCTGCCCCTTCTCTCTCTCTCTCTCTCCCTCTCTCTCTTTCAAATCAATAATATCCTAAAAAAGAAAAGAAAATCCAAATCTGACTTTCAGGCACTCTTGTGTAAGTGGCATGGAAAGCGCATGTGCGTGTCTGTGAGCCATTCCAGCACAGCTCAGGACCACAGGGCCACTGAGTGAGTAACAAGGGCTTGGGACAAAGTTGTTCCCAGCTTATTGGGTTGTCCCCCTTCACTGGCTCTCCATGGGGAAGGCAGGATCCACCCGTACATACACCCCTCACGCAGAAATCATGGCAAGTCTCACAAGAGAAATCTCACATTTAATTCCAATAAAGCTTAAAGTGGCATCTACATAAATGAACATGCTTCTGAGCAGAACTGTAAGAGTTGTGAGCCATATTGCTCTTAAACAATAAACCACATATTCTTTATTATTCTGCAATAATCCACCGTGCTGTAAATTACCCAAAGCCCAAGACCTGGATGGACAAATTCTTACAGTCAATATAGAGAACACTTACTATCTTTCGGTGTGAACCCACTCCTCCCCTAAAACACACATACACACAAACACACACACCTTTCTATTGTTGAAAAAAATTCATGTCTAATGGCCGGAAAAAGTTACTACATTTCACAGCATTAACTAGCAGTAGCCCTCAGGAGTAGATGGGAAGCTCAGTCTTCTGACCCTCAGGTCCCATCACTAGAATCAAAAGCAAAAAGACAGATCCTGATCTTGGCACAAGGTTCCTCCAGCCCTGGCCCAGCTGGATGGGTGGGGGGGTGACATGGGGGGGTGGAGAAGGCAAGGGGCTGAGAGGGGTTTCCCAGCTCTGCTCTGCAAGGAGATCCCCCCAGAGTGACTGAGGGACCCACAAACTACTGACACCCAGCCCCGGAGGATAGTCGCAGAATGAAAATGCTCTACCCTAGGGAAGTAGAGTGGGGACGGTTTAGAGCTCCCACCCAACTCCAGGTCTCTACTACTCTAAACATCTATGGACTCCAAGGACACCGAGTTCCCTCTAAAGGGAAATCAGCTCTGGGCTCCCATGTTGCAGACATGCCCTGAACCCCAAGACTCAGGAATAGAGGCCAAAGGTGGAGACACTTCTGAATGTAGGGGTGTGCATTTTGCAGGACATGAGAGGAGAGCACTGCTGAGCCATTGGACATTCCTTACATCTGGAGAACAAGCATCTAGGGGGACTCTTGCCTGTGAGTCTTGACCCTGTCAATCATCACACAACAAGATAAACCATTTTCTTCCCATTGATGTTTCTGGTCTTCAGCCCCAGATACCGCTGGCTCTTCTTCTCTGGCTGCCCATATACCATGTTGACAAAGAAGTCTGGTTCGTCTTTGTCCCTGGGTTGGAAAGTCAGAAACCTATATATTGCTCTTAGCTTGTGACACAGATAGGTCATTGCTTCTGCTTCCTCTGATGGTTCCTCATACACGGGCTGCTTCATTTTCTCATAGGTAGACAA